GTGTTTTAATTATGTTATTAAGGACACGGGCTAGCGGAAGGCTAATATTTTATAATGGCTCGTGTATCGCAATGATATGTAAATATTCTGCCTCGCCCTCACCTATTAGGCTGCTTGCGTGCGTGCACCTTAACATTGGGAGGTACTCGCGCGTTAACTTGAATTTAGTACCAAGGTGTGACATTTAGGTTGCGGCCGGGAGCCGGTGCTGAGCCGGCAGCCGGGAGGCGGTGGAGGCGTGTGATGTCAGTCTCGTTTCATTTCATAAGAATTGAATAGCGAGACGTGTAATTAGCAAGCTTTTTAGAAGGAAAACTACTCATAAGCTTCCTCGAAAGGGTCGTATTAATTACTGGAGGTGCTCGTATGAGCGCGCTCGCAATAAATGGCCGGCCACTTGGCGCCCTAGCCTCGCCGGGCCTTATTAAAAATGTTAACACGTAAATTAGACTCCCGACTCGGCAACGGTGTATTAGCCAACCAATTAAATTTTAGAGTCAACGTATACAATACTGCCACAAGGCGACTTCACACGGCGGGGACGCCCGCTGGCCGCACTGTTTAGACGGCTTTAAATTATATAATTTTTTTTACCTTAACACTTTGATAACGTTACGAGTGTTGCAAAATAAAATTGCGTTTTAATTGCAAAAATTAAATATCGGACTTAATGTTTCCGGAGCGGGTTGGCACCGGTAAGGTTAAAAAGCATATGAAAATTGCGATGTAAGGCTGGTAACATTTCCGTTACCGACTGTGAGAGTCCTTACAGACGAGAGATTTTGTTCTCAGTTGAATTAATAAATGTTTATTAAGTGCGTAATTAAATATGAAGTAAAACGTTGGCAGACATTTAATGTGAATCGTTGATGCATCTGGCTGGCGCTCGCGTCTCGCTGGCTATGCCACACTATCTGTCGCGCAGAGTTCGTCTCCGGCGTTGTATTCGTCTCGTATATTGTCGACGTCGGTGTAGCAGAATGTTGACACAAAATGTTCGTGTGGTCGTGGTTGGTGTGTGGTGTGGCGCCGCGTGAGGGGACGCAACGCAGTCCGCATTCACATTGTACGAGGTAACTAGTCGCTCGTGTGAACGCTTAAAAAGGTTTGAGGCTCGGCTGGTCTAAGTGCACGCCCTCACGCGACTAGTTGGATGTGTAAAAAGATTAATTGGAGTGTTGCCCGTATTCTAACAATTTACGGCGCCTTCTGTGGCGGGCCGGCCGTAGACCACTTTTGCGCAACTTAATTAAGCGAAATAACTTAAGCGAGTCACCGTTGCTAATTAGAGCCATCGTCGCCGCGCCGGCTAATGCCACGAGTGACTCTTTGTTTGCGGCCCGCGTACTTCTTTGAGTTCGCGCGCCAAAAGAATTTGTCTTTGCATCGACTTTGAGTGAAGGATGTTTGTTTTGCCCCCAGAGACTTAAAAGACTCTCCGCGTTCGCGTTGAGAAATGTGGCAGCGTTTGTGTGGGATACAAATTTGTTGGCGTGTCAAAACATCAATAAGACTTTATGAGTGCGAAGTCTTTGCCACGCACAGTAATTTTTTTCATATTTAAAAATATAATTTTTCTATTTGCAATTATTTTTAACGGTATATACGTAGTAGCTCAAGTTTTAAGCGTAAATTTACATTGGCTTTATAAAAAGGCGTCGCTGAAGAAAAGCTAGAAAGATTTTTTTAAGGGCACAAGGAGCGCTCTCGACTTTAGTGTTGTTGAGGCCTACATGCAAGTGGCCATTACTGTGCTTGTTCTTTTCTTACTTACGATCGACAAAGTGAAACTTCTTTTGTAACACTATTTATGATGTTAGTTCTATTCAAACACTTTAACAAACTTCTTTGTTTGTAGCCACAATGGTTGAAAATTAGACTTAAAATATATAATATATATACTACTCAGAATAAAACTAAAACACAGATGTATATTAGATTATTAGATGTATATATTAGTTGAAATAATTTGCTGTCTCTATCTAATATATTAAATTAAGAAGACACGGTCGATATTATTATGTTTTTTATTTAACGAACGTTAACTTTATTAATTAATAATTTTCGTATATTTTAGTTATCCACTGTACTCGCTTCTTATCTTCATGACAAAAGAAAAAAAAAGACAAAAGCGTAATGAGGCTCAATGTGTCCCGGCTTCTGTGTTGCACTTAATTAAAAAAAAAGTTTGTTCTTAACTGCTGTAATTATCGACGTCGTTTATCGATGCAAAGGCTATCGAGTTAGAACTTTTTAATCGTTTATATTCTCGATTATTGTGCACTAAATATTTTATGTAGACGAAATTAATTAGTCTAATCTAATATTTAATAAAGAGTTAATTATGAGAATTTTTATATAACAATCTTTGGTAAATACGACTATGTTAAAGACCTTAGCAAAAGTTAAGACTTTTGTTTAGATTTATCGTGTTGTATTTAATTTTTTTTTATTTTTTTTTATATAATAAAATATTAAAAGCGATAGTTAAACTATTCAACAATAAAAATTAGTATTTTAAGGTTAGTAGAAGTTCCTAGTTCATTCAAAACCCATATGCAAGTTGACACCGTTGTGTTTGTAACCTCGTGTATCCTTAACTGTTGGACCGATTTTGACAAGTAATGTGTCATTCGAATCGAATTCTATCCTTGAGTGTTTACAATTAGTTGGTTTTTTTTTTTAAGCAATTAGTGTACCAAAATATTTTTTCTAAAGGAATAGTGATAAGTCCATTTGGTAGAAAGTTTAAAAACATTGTAGGTTTATATATAGTTTTGAAAATCGATTTAATTTTAAAATGCCATTTATTATTAAAGTTCTGACCGGCTTGTAATTACCCTCCGTGCGCCTCTGAAACGCCCTCGCCCTTTCAGTGCCTTTTGAGAGATGTTTATCGCGAAGGAAATGACCGCTTTCCGATGTCCACAATACCACCATTAGGGGCACAATGCACGGACAAAGTTCAGGTAAAAAGAATCGAACGCGATGACATCTTTTTCGATGTCCAAGAAAAGTTTAAATTGTAAAATATACGTGGAAATGGATTGCATGATATACATTTTCATTAAGCTTGCTTGAAACGTTTGCATGTTTCATTGTTTTAATTTAAATCTTAATACGAAACGTTATTTAGTATTGATAATGTTATTAATAAATTATATTTTAAGGGAAAACTTCATAACAAAAATTTCAATAGCGACGCAACAAATAACGTTATCAAAGCTTTTACAAAGCATTCCTTTTATCTAAAAGATACGACAAGCTTGAGATATAAATACGTTGATATATTCCACTGAAGTGTTAGATAAGGGTATATTCTCCAATCACTCGACAATATTTCGAACGAATCCCCATATATTGTTATAACTGAAATTGCGTAAGTCGAACGTTTCAGAATAGGCCACGCAGGTAGGCAAAGATGGGGAAGTGTGTTTATCATAGAAGCACGCGGCTTATGGCAGGTGCCCCTTATCGCATGGCTTAGATAACGCGAAAATTAGTCGAGTATAAATCAATACTGAGGGGGATTTTTCCGTTACTTGCAACACGATGTTACCATTCTATTTAAAATAGCTGTCACCAGCTACTCCGTACACGCGGAATTAAAAAAAAAACTCAGTTTTTTTTTGTATGGAAGGTAAAATAACTATTTACTTTATTGTGTTTATCAAATTAAAGACTAGACATGCTATTGAATCTATTATAAAACGACATTACTTGAACGCATTTTCTTCTATAATTTAATAATGACGACGATCAGTTATTCCGTTAGGACTGGCCGTAATAACTGTATTATTATTGATTCTGTTTTCTTTTTAATCTATGATTAGTTAGTATAAGGAATTCTTACACAGACATACGTAGACATATGACGTCTGATATTTTATACTAGTTTTTTTATTAAACATATTCTGTGTCTATGAGCTGTTGAGATTTGAAAAGTAATTTTATATATATTGTGCCAACCCCATTGACTTAATAGTTTTAGGGTTGTCCCTTCCTCCTATTAAAATTAGGAAATAGTGAATTTACAACCCTTAACGAATTATTATCGAGTAATAGGATTATAGCACGGTCTGAGAAGGAGTCTTAATTGCTGTTAACGAATCGTTTTACATCGTTTTAGAAGAATTGTGGAATAAAAAATACAAAAATGCAAGGGATAGAGAAAGTGTACTTTTGTACATTAATCAGAGTTATTTTATATAACAATTAAAAATACATAATCTTACTAATATTATAAATGCGAATGGTTAGATGGATGAATAGTCTGGAAGAACACATAGGCTAGTTATTAAGTTTGTTTATAATTCCGCGCGGACGGAGTCCCTGGCAACAGCTAGTTAAGGAATGAAAAACGGAAACTATTCAATCCTTAAATAGTACGTTACGTCGCTTTCCTCATACGTTGTGTAATGAGTCTAAAATTTTATATATTCTAATGTATATTTACAATTTTAATTGGGCAACAAACCGCAATATTACACTTCGGTTTATACAACTATTAGATAAGTCAATAATTAATTTCATATATAAAATAAATTTAATATAAGTAGTCGATGTCTTTATCGTGCTTAGTAACAGAATGTATAATTTTTTTCCAAAATACATATGGTATGTTCGTCATAAAGTGGGTTTTTAGTGTTTAGAGACTGACTATATTACCATAAAAATATAGTTAGACGCGTGTTTTAACCCTTTGAACGCCGGTGAAGGATATTATGGACGTCAAAGTAGTTACATGTTTCACCACAAATATGTATCACTCTTGGTATAATTTTATTATTTATTGGTCAAGAACTCATTTCGTAAGCCTACACATAATAATGTATTCAATAGTCATAATTAAAAAAAAATCTGCGCCTTGCCGTAGTATAAAAAAGGATGACGTATATTTAAGCTAAATTTTATTTGAAACACTGTTTAATTTTTTATATGACCTTGAGTATTTTTCTTCTCGCGGACTCTTAAAAGCTAGATAAAAAAAATCAACTCACCGAAAGTTAGAGAACCATTTGACGAGCTGCGCTGTATTGTTCTTGTTGAACTTGATGTCAGGGAAGTACATCTTGAGGACAGCAGAGCTCGGATACCGCACCCAGAAGAACATCAGCTTTGCTTTGCGGAGGTGCATCGGCGTTAGTGTTGAAGAGTGCAATGGAGTTATGGATTTCATTGGTAGAGTTGATCACACAAAAAAAACAATTAGAGAAAAAAATATGTTTAACTATCATAAACAACTATAATTAATAAAAAAATATGTTTTAGTCATAGGTTAAAATTTTTACTACTTTTAAATTGCCAACCCTGATAACCTAACATACTGAAAACTGTCATTTATTGCGATAAAAAATTCGATAATTTGACAAATTTAAGGTTATGACTTTTTACTTTAAAGAATAAAAATGCGATGTTACTTTAAATTATACTAATTGGAGTTATTTAGGTTTGTGACACAACAGACAGCTTTAAGTTTGTGGAACAACGGCCGGCATGTATAAAGCAAGAAATGTAAAGACAGGGAGGGTAGTAGATATAAATCTGATTATATCCCACTATTACGTAGGCTGACTCGCGAAGCACCACAACTCTTAATCCGTTTGCATCTAATCTTATAAAGTACCTTAGCCGGTGTCTGTCGAGGCATTTACTTTTATTAATCTATCCCAGTTCTTGTAAATATTCACGTAATATTTAAAGAAATTAAGGTGCAATTAAATTAATACAAAAATGTGTTCTGTCTGTATCTACCTAGCGCATTTATTCTCCTCAAGACTGAAGCAATAATCTTTCACTGCGCTACGTGGCATTCGTATGGATGGGGATGGGGAGGTATATGTATATCGTAGAAACCGCAGCATTTATCGGGCTTCAAGAGTCGTATAATGCCATCTAGTAAGTAGGAAGCAGGTGGTGGCAGTCGTAAGGTTAAATACTACAGAAATAAGATATGCGTGGGCGTATGCATGGCACCGTTTGACTTATGTGGTAACAGCATTACAACTAAGCAGGCATGTATGCTACTATTGCAACTCGAAACTAATACTTTTTATACCTAAAGATACCTAACAAATATAATATTAAGTTATATGTATTGAAAAGGATATAGTAGGCTGCACTCCGTCGAAGGCGAGGTCAGTGGAGTTACAGTCGGAGTGCGGGTCTTGCGTGTCCATATGCTGCGGATGGTGTGGGCCTTGCAGGCTGTGGCTGAGCGCATGGTGGTGCCGCAAGTAGTCGGGAGAGGCGTGCTGCGCCAACAGCGCAGGGTGCAGCAGCGCTGGCGGGTGCGGTAGTGGTGGCGAATCTCTCTCGGGCGCAGGTGGGGACCGGGCCAGACCACCTCCCGCTCCGAAGAACGGCGAGTAGGGAGAGAAGACTTGGCTCTCGTGCAGCGATGGATTCGGTATCGCCACGGACGTCGGCAGCGCCATGCCCCCCGGGAACGGTCGCGGAGACGGGGATTCTGGGGATTGTCCCACGCCCTCGCCAAGAATCCGGCTGACGGTTCGAGGCGTGATTCGCGTGTCTGTTACCTTGTGGCGCTTCTTCTTGGGAACTACGACGAGACTTAGAGCCTCGTTCTGCTCAGGGTTGGGTTCACGCTCGTAGTGACCGTTCATGGGGCCGTACAGCGGACCCAGCTTCGGCGGCGTCTGGAACATCCCTGTAGGAGGGCGGACGTGAGCACCGTGGCCAGGCCCGCTTGCCTCGCCGTGCAGCGGAAATGCCGCGCCCGGCGCTCGCGGGCCATTCATCTGGCTCATCAACAACTGATTGTGTGTCATAAAAGGCACGCCGTTGGGCGCACCCTGGTGATGAACAGGGGTATTACCTGGCATCTGTCCCGACGATCGCTCTTGCTTCAATGTCGGCGACTTCCGCTCGATCATCCGTGTCGCCCGCATCAAGTCTTTGTTTAGTTGCTCCGCCGCAGCCGCTGCCGCTTCCGATTGCTTGCCCATGATCCGACGCTGGTGCACGAATCGCGTGACGATGGAATCGATCAAAGTCGTAAGGGACGCTGAGATCTCGTTTTTAAGTACTTCGGCCAGCCCCTCCAAATCGGCACCAGACACGGGTCCCACAGAGCCTGCGTTACTACGTAGGGCATCTAGTCTATCGGCAAGCTCGGAGGACATAGGTGGTTTCGGAGTCGGTCCCATTTGTCTCTGTTGCGGGGAATGCTGAGTCGACTGTGGCCTCTGTTGCTGGTTATTCTGTTGCTGTTCTGCTACTTCTTTCATCCGAGCCTCTTGTTCTAGAAACAGCTTCTGGCCGACATTAATAGCATACATGGCCGCTGCATTGTTGAGATGCTGGTGAGGATGCGGCGGATGAATGTGATCGTTGGGAGGCAAGTGAGGTATTAAAGGTAGAGCACCGTTAAAATTAGGCGGGAGATGTGGATGTGGCCCACCGTGTCCATGGATCTTCGCAGACATCATCTTATTCATCACCTGAGTGAGCATATTAGGGGCGACACTAGTTGGAATCGGAGGAGGCACTTCTTTCGCGGGCGAAAGAGGCTCCGATTTGGGCACCGGGTCTTCGGTCTGCTCTACATCACTAGACGCACCATCATTATCTACAGTCTCCGATTCGTGTCCCATACGATTGCACAATTCCAAGTATTTTTCTTTCATTTCAGCTAATTGTTCTTGCATAGTCCTTAATTGTGATTTTAAAGCATTTTTTTCTACTAACTTTTGTTGTATGGGCCGCTCGCCGTCATCTTCAGAATCGTCCGACACCGTGCGAGCGCTGCCGCCGTGACTGGCACCGTACCGCTCTGCTGCGCCGTCGTGCTGCTGCGGATGGTACAACTTCCGTTTCTTGCAGCCGTTCACTTGTGGCTGCTGCGGCACAGGGCTCGAGCGCATCGTCGACACTATATTTTCAACACGGGCACGTTTCACATCGAGGGGTCGAGGCGAGGAGCGTTGCACGTCACTGTCGCGGTCCTCAGGCTCAGATTTGGGCGCCAACAGCGGCTCAGGATGCGCAAGCGGCGGTGAGGTGCGCGAATCGCCGGCGCCCTCGAGCGCAAGCAGCGCGTCGTCGAGGTCGGGGCGCGAGTCGCGTGAGGCGGGCCTCTCGGGCGAGCGCTTCACTTTGGGCTCGTTGTTGTTATCGGCGAGTACGTTGTTGTTGTCAGGCGAAAGGCGCAGTAGCTCTTTCTTTCGACTCTGGAGGATGTCGCGCAGCACGCGGTGCGCAATGTCACCAGCGGGCGCGTCGTCGCCAGCGTCCTCGGGGCGCGGCGCGCGGCCCAGCAGCTCGTTGAGCATCTCCGCTGGGGCGTATCCGGGCGCAAAAAGCCCGAAGTGTTGGCGGCCGTCGAAGATGGCGCCGTACAGTCCGCCGCTCATGTGTGCGACGCGCGCGGGCGGTCCGTTCGTCGCGAGGGTCGAGTAAGAATTGCGCGGCTCGCCGGCGTCCACGCGCTGTCTGACGCGTTTGTGTTTCTTGAGCAGTCTATCGGAGTAGGGCGCGCGCTCGGCCTCCTCCTCCGATGACATCACTGGCACGGCGGAACGCGATTGGGCGCTCGGGCGGCGGGCAGGGCCCCGCGGCGGCGCCGGAGCGCGCGCTCTGTAACAAGAGGGGGCTGCACACCTGCCTGTGCGCGTCGGGGAGCGCGCGCGCTCCGCCAAGACGCTTCATTGTGACCACATAGCAAAATGATGTATCAACAAGCAACTTTCATATTTATTTTTCATAAAATAAATTGAACACCCTACGTTAATTAATTCATGCTCTGATTTTTACATCTAATGTTTGGAATTTTGGTTTAAAAATTTCCTTTTAAGTAAGATTCGTGTAAAATTCAGATATAATGATAAATTCAGAAAACATCACATTTTTATTGATAAAAGTTGAAAACGTGTTAATAATAAAAAAAGCTAAAGTTCATTGTAAAAATTGTACTAAGATTTTATGGATAACTTATATCTCAAAAAATCTTACGAGACGTTCTTTATCGCAAAAATTCTAATAAGAATATTTTTTTTATTTAAGTAAAATTGAGGTAAGTAATTTTAGTCCAGATTCTTATAAGATGAACTACATCTTAATATCAAATATTTCTCCCGCAATATTGTCGTAGGCGGGCGTGGGGTTGAGTGAGGATTCTGGGCGTTAGGCGGCACACGGCGGGTGAATATGTGACATCAGGTAACAAAAGCCTCGTATGTATCAACGGCATTAATTTCTTTTGGAGCGTGACTCCGTATTCAGGAGGACAATGAGTCTAAAAATGTCAGAAATAATTCTGTGAGACACGCGGTGCTGTGCGCGACTCCATTGCTACACGATATTGACAATTTAACAACAGAAGCATAGAGCAAACATTTTAAATTTTACATCTTTCTAACTTATAAAATTTATTATTTACGACTATCACGGAGATAGGTCAGTCATGATAAGGTGTCAAAAAATCCAAAATTACTTCTTATTTGAATTTATAAAACTAGTATCCAGTGCTCAATAGATTCCAACAAATTCATACCCTAAAGGAAAACCGATCATCTTGTAAACTTGATTTTCTTAAAGTTCAAACTCGATAAATAAAAATTTGTTACAAAATATGTCATATTATAATAAATTTCAGGATGCAGAGCACACTCACGCTCTACATATTTTTTTTTAGTTTTTTTTTCTAAGCGACTTTGCCGGGTAACGTAACTTAGCGTGGCAATGGAGACGCGCTCGCCGTCTCTTCCAACATCCGGCCGCAATTTGCCGGCACAATGAGATGGTATCAATAGCGGATGACTTCCGATGCCGCCGGAGTCACGCGCCGCTTCCTCCGCGGCCGCTGTACAAGCACAAGTTTTGCAATACAAGGTAAGTGATGGGAAAATAGATCTTAAAAACCCACTATTCACTAAATGTGATTCATATTTTTATCCATTAAAAAAACAAAAATATATTTTATTAACCACCTGACATCCAATCTAGGGTATTTCACATTTAAAACCAATGCAGAATAACGAATCCTGGCAGACAGTGTCCGACAAATAATTTAGTTGGATCATAAAAAAAAACTGTATGGGCCGTGGAAAGTTGTCGGGCGTTGTTTAATATTAAAAAAGTCATGTATCGTAATTCCACGGGGCTCCGGACAATTCCGATAATTACCACGTCATGAATAAGCAATGGGTTGTCAAACTGTGACCAGTCGCGGACTGCAACCGCGGAGGGCGCCCTTAGCAATGCCGACACGGTACTTTATTTATTTGTTTTTAATGTACCCTTTGGATAACAAGCTAAATTAGTTCTGATCTGTTAAAGTTAAAAAGGACTGATTACTATAATATTTTGAAACAAAAGCTTTGATAGAAAAACTAGCCTTAGCAAAATATTTCAACCATCACGTTGAAATAATAGGAATGTTTAAAGAGTATTGTTATCTCTGTCTTGTCAAAGATGATAACAGAGATGACGATATATTTAAGATTTTGGTCTCAGAAATCAACAGTAAATCGTCACACCCACTTTAAAATATTAGGTTGAATTTAGACAGCTCTAAAATTTAGAATTGTCTAGCAACTGTTGGAAACACATCACATTTTTAGTTTGTAAAATCTAAGATTGCATTTAATTGATAATTCTTTATTTTAAAAAAGGAATATCGTATGTGTGTAAAGGGGCTCGTTGGGGGCACTAGAGGCATGCGATGCGGACACGACCTGTTGATTTCATACCGCACCGCGAGGGGCGCTAGGGGCGCGCCTCATGTTGTCGATGTCATTACCATAACGGAAATAATTATTATTGTAACGCAATTCTTAATTTTGTTCCTTACACCTGTACGCTATTACTTTGCATAATAATAAATTATTGCTATAGTTTTATTATATTATTTATATTATTAAAATCAATTGAAATCATAGACAATATCGCCCGTGATTTGCTTCCTTATTATGTATAAAAATGTTTATCTCTGGTTTTCAACAGTCTAGCTGGCGACTATCAACTGGCCACTTGTATTAATACAGTAACTTTCGCACGCGACTCCGTCCGCGCGAAATTAAAAAAAGGATTTTGACAGACAAACGGATGGACAACTACGTGATCCTATAAGGGTTCCGTTTTTTTCGTATGAGGTGCGGAACCCTAAAAACATAATTAGTAGCCTGTGCGTTCTTCTTTAAGACTACATCTATGCCAAATTTCAACGAGATTACTTCAGTTGTTCTGGAGATACATAACAACAAACTTCCATCCATCCATCCATCATTCCATCTAAGTCCATCCATAGTCCACATGTTAATCAATGATATAATACAAAACAATAAAAACAAAACAAAAGACCTTATCGATAGATCGTTTGTGAACACACCCTTACTCAATCCGCTACCAAGCGGCGTCTAATTTTTCCGGAAATGTTTCCTTTCCGTCTCCAGTACGATAACACGCAAACGAGTTTCATGAAATTAAAAAAAAATAACATTTCCCGATGTAAACAAGCACCGTGCACTTGTAACGAAGTTAGTAAAGGTATGTAACATACATATGTTTATTTTTTTGGTTTTCGAACTCAAATTGTAGGTCTTTTTCGTTAGAAGTTTAAGCAATGGTACGACGAATGTTGTTGAAATTTTAGAGCGGAACGTTTACGTTGGTTATTTTCGCAAATTAGAATTAACTCTTGTACAAACCAGTCAAGGACGGAATAACTGGAATTAGGGTTACGTCGAGTTTAGTTTATTACAGTTCGCCGTAGAGGTAAGGCATGTGTTTGCTACTTAAATTCAAGAGAGTTGTAATTTAAAACATGCTTTAGACTATATAATTAAAAAAATACAAATTACTACACATCATATTTAAAATACATTCGTTACATAATTATCAATGGCCTCTTAATCTTTGGATGGATGGATGTTTGTTTGTGGGTATGCAGAACGGCTGCATAGATCGCACTGAAATTTGACACAGATGTAGAATATAGTCTGGAAGGAGAATCTTAGGCTTAGTAACCTATGTGTTCTTCCAATTCCGCGAGGACGGATAAGAGGCGATAGCTTGTTTTTTAATAAAATATAATTTCGATTAACCAAACGTAAGTATTGCTTAATAATTTTGTCATATCAACTTTAAACTTATTACATATCAGATTTAAACTAAATTTAATGTACTTTTAAAACTAAAAGCAATGAATTAAAATAATAAGACAATAAGATAGGTATCGGTAGAGCCATATGGCACCGGGGTCATTTCCTACGAGCCACCCTCAACGGGGGAAGTGCGCTGTGTAGGAATGCGTGGGAAATTGTTGCACCCTTTGCAATTATATTACATTATCTATTCTTTGCGTTTACAATTTAAACGGTGACTTATGGTCATTTTGACCATATGCCGGACGTGGCACGCTATGGTACCATCGTTAAGAAAATATGTGAATATTATTAAATATACATATTAATAAAATTGGAATGTCTGTATGTAATGTCGTTACGTTGCTAATAACGAAAAAATAATTGTCAAATTGTTTATCTGTCTTTATGTCTGTCAGCAACGCCGCGTTTGTTTCTAGTAATCAAAGGAACGACTGGACCGATTTTAACGGGACTTTGACGGGAAAGTAGGTAATCCGCGCATATCATAGGCTAGTAATTTTAATTCAGCGAAGTCACGAAGTCATTGTAGTTTAATTAAAAATATCTGGAAAGGATATACCTTAGTATGTTACTAGTTTACAAGAAAAGTTAAAATAATTCGAACTCATCATTTTATCGTTAAAATTACAACAAGAATTTAGTATTTATAATATAATTAATATTTTCCTTAGTGCCATTTATCCATAACGATATAAATAAGTCGTGATGCCAATTAATGTAAGGAAATTGTCATTAAATGTAATAATTATACGAGAATGATACGCATATATTATAATTTTATATCAAATAAGAGCTAAAATAAGTAACGATGAATATACAGGGGTTTAAATGAAAATCCCTTATTTGAAGAAAAATGTGTTAATATCGTAGAACATGAATAGCAAAAGACAGAAACCTTATCTGACATTACTGAATAAAATATAAATAAAAATTTTAGAAAGAATATTAGAAAAATATAAATTTCTTCTTTTTCTTTACAGTAAATGGCAGCAAAAGTGTAAAAACTCCTTGTACAATGTATTTCAAATCTTATCTTACTAACTTAAAAAAAAATTGTAGTCGGTAATCGATAGCTGTTTTTTTTTTCTATAAACGTGCGATAGTTTTATAGTGTAAAGCATGTTTTAGCATATTTCATCTTCCTCATCAGCTCACTATACGTCTCCACCGAGGGGCTCGGAGCCCTTAGTTAAGGGCGACTAGACCATAGTCAACCACGCTGGCCAAGCATAACATATTTTTCATTAAAAAAATTATAAACTATTACTACTATAATAAGTAAATGTTTATTACTTATAACTTAGGGTCTTAAAGATCATGAAATGTAACAACATAGTTATGTTTATATTTGTTGTGAAACTTGTTGTGAAACTTGTTGTGAACATATTGTATTATAAATGCGAAAGTTTAGATGGATGGATGTTAGAAG